CTACAAACGCTAACAAACATCCATCCATCCATCCATCCATCTATCCATCCATCCATCCATCCATCTAAACTTTCGCATTTATAATATTAGTTTCAATATATACAACTATTACCTCTATTTAATATCACTATTTTTCTTTTTTTATAATATGAGGTGGCAAACGAGCAAGCGACCGCCGGAATCCACCGAAATGGAAAGCGACCACTGCCCAAAAACATCCGCAATTGCAGATGCGTTGCCTACCCTTAATTGACGGAGGAGACGCACATAAAGAGGACATTTCCCCTTCCGTCAAATCCACCTTTCCTTTCCATCCTTTCCCCTTAAGAAAAGGGAGGAAAGGGAAAGGGACCAAAATTAGGCCTCCGGCACCACACTCATCAGACGAAAAGCGGAATTTCTTCCACTTCACGTCTGTTTTCTGTGTGGTCGTGGTATTTCACCGGGCGAGCCGGCTCATTCGTGCGAAGATGTTAAAGCGGGCTCTACCACTGTTAAAAATAATCAGCTATATAATAATACCACAAGAAATAGTAACAATTATTTAATGCACTAAAGAGACGTGAAACATTAAATAAAATTTTTGAACGCTTTGTCGTCTACACATTGATCAAGTTCTTCCATCAAATCGATGATTTCCTCTTCACAAGTCTCTGCAGTATACTCCTTACTCTTAACCCTTTTCTCGCATTGCGCGAACACTTCGTATAGCTTTTTAACTGCACAATCATCTGGAATAACATTATTTATTAAAAAGCTGTTGCCCGCGACTTCGTCCACGCAAAAAGATAAAAAAAGTAGCCTATGCCTGTCTTTGTCAGCTATCCTTCAGTGAAAGTTCAGTCGAAATCTGTCCGGCCCTTTCGGAGATTACCCGAAACAAACGCGGCTTGCGGACAAACAGACAAAAAAATGCGATTTTCGTTATCAGCAACGTAAATACATCTTGCCGAAATCTGGAATCTTCGTTTTAATATTACACACAGACACTCTAATTTTATTACATGTATAGATTATAGATAGAAAGAAATAAAAATGTATGAAGCGAAAAAACTCAAAGACTACTGAACCGATTTCAAAAATTCTTTTGCCATCAGAAAGCTATGTTATTACTGAGTAACATAGGCTATAACTATTAGGAGATCTTTTTTAATTATAGGCGTACAAAGTCGAAGCAAGCGCTAACGTATGCTAAGCCGCCACTGGCACCTAATGTGTTCTATTCAACATCTCGTGTATACTTTCAAGCCGTGATAATCTTTGGTTGGCATTATACCTATTTGTTACAATTCCACTGAAAACTGTGTGGTTTTGGTAACTTTCTCAATGTCAAATCTTTAACACAATTTGTATGCAATTAGGGCTAGTATACACAAAGTAAAATCTAAAAGATTTATTGGGTACCGTACATTGCAAACATATTCCTCGTTCTTTAGTTAATTGGTCAGTAGAGTTCTGAAACGAAAAAAAAAATTAGTAGCAATATTCTATTCTGCTATCTTAGAACCTTAATTTTCGACATAGACCTATAAAAAAGTTCACTAACAATTTAGTACATTGAGTTTTTAAATTGTTTAAATTAATTTTGTTGGTTAATGCGAGACATGAAGTTGGAACAAAACAATAAGTATTACCCTCGAACTCTATTGCCGTTACAAATGTAACAATGTATTGCGTTCCCTTTCCTACTCTTTGACAAAACAGAGACTGCAATATATAATACATGTATCAATGCAGTAGAAACCGACAGTTATGTTTATCTGGTTCATATGGGATGGAATCAGTCCGAATCGGTTTCCATTGAGCTCGGCAGGGGTCGGCTTCAAGACAATGGTCAATTAACTATATTGCGAGCTCTTTGTAGGTTATTTACTGGCCGATTTTGCCATCACGTGTAGCATTGAATGAATAAAAAAACGACCGTGTTTTGTTTTGCGTTCGAAATTTAAAATTGACATCTACAACAAAGCGTAGGTTCAACTAAAACATTTTAGTTCCTTAACTAAGTCATAAAAGTTACTCTTAAAAATCAACATAATAAAATATTTAATACTTAACACGTAATTTTTAACGATTGGTAATCTTATAAAAGTAACAGAAGTTTTGACGACTGTATCGTCAATAAAAGTTTACCCAAAAAGGATAAACTAGGATGGACTAATGATGACTAATCTATCGCACAACTGCTTAGTCTTGCTTCGATTTTTAGTTGTGCAACAAAACAGTTGAATTAGCTGCGAAACAACCGACAATCGCAAGTCAAACACCGCCCGCTCCAAGAGTTTGGCAGAATAAAGATTCTAGTACTTCGTTGTTATTGGTAAAGTCCACGGTATATTCACTTTAAAGCACCACGTTTATTACATTATTTACTTAAAGATTTAACAACAGAAAGAAACCACAAGAGACAAAACAAATATCATAAAGTCTGTACAAAAACATCCTTGAATACGCTAAAAATTCGGTCATACTGTTTGTTTTGTAATAACGACTTATGTGAATGATTTGTTTACTTTGACAGACGTGCGCTTGTACATAATTTTGTTTATATTACAATTTGTAGGACATAAATGAGATAGACACGTTTGCGGTTAACGGCTTACACTGCCGACATCTAGTCCTCTAATATTATACAGATAAATTTGTACATTTGTATGTAGGGATAAAACTCAGAAAGTATTGAACCGATTTGAATTTTTTTTTTGCCTTTAGAAAGCTATATTATCACTAAGCAACATAGGCTTTGTCGCTAGATTTCTTTTAAATTAGGTGTGGATTTTCATTTGTTTCGGACTTGGTGTATATTTTTGTTTCAAATCCATATTTATCGTCGTAGAAAGAGATGGATGGATTGCGTGAAAGGTTACATGATCAAAAAGGGAGTGACATCTGAAATGACGTATGATAGAGTTATGTGGAGGACAAAAACCTGTTGCGACGACCCTACGGGAGTAGGATATGGAGAATTATGATGATGAATTGAGGTGAATTTATCGTCGTAATAACATTTGTGTTTATACACAATATATCATTAAATTGGTTCTAAGCTTATAACTGTAGGACACTTTTATATATTTTTTTTTATTTTCCAGCAAGTGCATGCCATGACCAATAATCATGGCGACCACTGCAATGGTAGTATCACCTCTCGCAACACAGTCCTCCCCCAAGAACAAGAGGAGGCTGTTTGCTGAAGCAAGACAGAACAGCCTACAGAAGTTGAGCGTTATCTTCGACCATGGAAACAAAAACGGTACGTAAGCCTAAGTAGACTTCAATTTACACGAGACGATTCCACTTCTTTGTAATTTAGTATAACTAGCTGTTCCCCTGCGACTTCATCCGCATAAACTTATGAAAACGTTATTTTATTGTTCACATTTGTCAAATTAAAATTGCAATTGATAAAATGACATTACTTAAAAAATCTTGGCAATCTTACTTTCTTGATGTTGGCAGCAACTTATGGTCTCTTTCCCACATTAGGGTTTTTATCCAAAATATTAACCCTCGATGTTTAATGGCGTTGAAATATATAGTCTAAAGCATGACGTAAGTGTAGGGCTTTCTATTACAAAAATAATTATTCAAAAATTTGCTATAATTACTGACATCTTAGGCAACAAAGAAGAGTGTGTTTAGGATTGATTATAATAGTATAGATAGTAAAAAAAGACATGGGTGTTGCCAATTCCCGATGAACTTAGCGACGCCTATGGAAAAGGAAAAACTATTTCCGGTGTCCAAAAACTATTGTATATATTGTATGTTACGAATAAACTTTATGCGGTAGACTATCCATTCGCCAAATTCATTAATGTACAAAACAAAGAGGTTTTATATCAACGATGCTGATAACTGTTCAAATAAGCTTCAGGGGTAGATAACGAATGTATTATGCTTTAACATGTTGATGAAAACAATGAGTGTGTAAAAACAGTGGGAAAAACATGTTGAATTTTGATACTCTTCGTAAAAGGACACGGCAAAGTTGTATGTAAATAAATTTGCCGGTAAAAGGAAAGAACGAATGTAAAAGAAGTTATTATTTCTGCTTATTCTTCTAGATGAGAATAAATCTCTATCTCCATTTTTAGTAGTCCTTGCAAATATAGTTGATATTGCGCTTGTAGCTGAAATATATAATTTGTAGCAACTAGGAAAATTAATGAGTTCACATACGTACGGAATCAAACAATGGCTTTTCCTCCATTTTACAAGGATCTTTAAATAATTTCTATATTAATTTAAGGTAATATTTCTGTAATGTTCCGTAGCTAACGTTGACTTTTTGACAAGTTAAGTGACGTATAATATAGCAACCCTTTTTGCCTATGCCAACAAAAAAATATTTCAAAAGTTAACGGACATTGATGTCAAGGAGTTCACCTTTATCTCTTTGCATTTAATTTAATCTAGTTTAAATCCCTTGAAATTGTGCAAGAAAAGCTTGAAGTCAATTAAAACGTTTTAGAATATAGAAAAATAACTAGCAAAATAAAATACATTTAAAAGTAATGCATTTTTACACTGAAGAAGGTTGTCAGTGTGAAATTTAAGAATGGAATCATAGATGGCAGCACAGTGTGTCGCATAAAATGCGGACTGTTTTACCATTAACTTTTGAATATGTGACAGTTACGAGAAAGGTATTGCTAGCTGCACATAAAATTTCCGACGCGGTAGAAATTACCACCCTTTAACGGATGTTCAAAGTAATGTAATTACGCCAAGATGAGTCTATTATTTCATTTGATATCTATGTTTTGTATTACTAATATTAAACATAGTAAAATAGTTTTACTGGCATGTAAAATATTTACTGTACTTGTTACAAAATGTGATATTGCTTGATATCGTGATGCTGAGATCTCAGGTTTTACTTGAGGAAGCGACAGTCAATGTTAGAGAAACATTCTCATTGATCATAAGTTATGTTTTTTTAATATGTAACTATAATGTTAAATATAAGCTTAATATAGATTTCTTACATTGTTCTTGTGGTACAACACAGTAAATTCTAGTAGTTGAACAGTGGCAACACTGATCTCTGCAGTAATTATTGTATGTATTTCTGAATTTTCTGAGCGCCATTGCTTTTTACCGATGTAATGTTGAAATGATTTTAATCGGTTTTCATCTGCAGTTGTGTGTGATGTTTTAGTAAAATATATAAGTGATTGTGTGCTAAAACTATCAAACTTCTTATAGTTTTTGTGCTGGGCTTTGTCATGGCCGGTAAGTGGTGACTTTTAGCGCCCGATAGACAAGGGCGAATCGGATTTGGGAATCGAAAATAAGTCGAAGATGTTTTATCGTTCGAACACCGACGGTAAATGCAATGTTCTTGTCTTTAGTTTGGTTATTAGTTATTAGTGTATTAATATAATAAATATCATAGTGGCAGTGTTTGGTTATTGTAATGTTTGAGCAGATAGTTTTAACCTTTTACACTGATTATTTCACTGCTGCGCTGCATTTATATGAAAAAGAAAGTTCTCGCAAAGGTTCTCCGTCTTATATGTGACTAATAAACACAGAAACAACAAATCGTGAGCGGTTTTTGTGAATTTGTTTGTGTGATCAGATGATCTCGGTTGTTGATTACATCTCGAAGGTCAAATTAATGTGTTTCTCAGATTATTGCAATTAGAATTCACTTCGTATCGTTACCAAATGCTAGAACAGGCCTACGGAGATATTACTAATGAGATATCAGGTGAGGCAATAACGATTTTCGCATACCCACTTTGCGAGTAACGAATCTATTTGAATAGTTTACAACGTCATTTATTACGTTCAATCTATAGTTACATAGATAATTGTTTATAGAGTCTGCTATGTCTGACAATAGGAACATTTTAACTTATGTTATTCAATCAACCAATATAATCGTGATGTTTTTTTTACTTTATGCAAGTTTACAAACAGTGTCCTAATCAGGGTAGACTGTTATTTTATAATTAGCTTATTGATTTATAAGATAATAATGTAAAGAAGTAAGAAGTAGAAAACATTGAATTATCACATAAATTTTCGCATTAAGTATTTTGTTATTTAAATTGTTTAGAAGTAAATATATTTACTTTTATAGTAATGAATGAATTTGATATTAGTTTATGTATTGTTTTATTAAACATTTCAAACAAATTTTATAAACACTGAAGCCTTTCTAGTGTTTTATCACCTAAAAATAAATTATTATTTTTCTCATATGAATTTAAAATACTATGGTTATCATCTTCCCATCCTTATTCTGCTCTCCTAGTGTTGTGCACACTGAGTACTCACTCTCCAGGTTAATCTAACTTCCGTTAAATCAGTTGTCACTCCAAGGCTGGCAATGCATCCCACTTCCTCTGGTAATGAAGATGTTCATGGGTGTCTACGAGCACCTTGGTGTTACTGCCGCTTGTTTGCTCCCTTTTCTTATTAAAAAACCATCCACAATTGAAAAGTTCTTGCTAAATGTGACTTATAGCATCCTGCCCATGCCCACTCATAACTTAACATGCTAATCTTTTACTCCTCGATTTTTTTACCACTAGGGACTCTACTTTCATACTTTCTTTAATATACTAATATGTATGTAGATTTCATTACAACCTTTAGGGGAAACAGCTCTTTTCACCAGTGAGTTGTTATTCAAATCATAGCCCAAGGTGGCACTGGATAGTCCATAATGTTCAAATGTTATTTTTTTAATATGTTTAACTGGTTAAGAGTTGTCTTTATCCTTTGGTTCAATTTGTCTTAATGGCTACAATTTTGAAGATTGTTATCTCAATTATGTTCTTCATCAGAAGTTTACAGGATCATATTTTGAGGGTTTATTGTTTAGGTTTTTGTTTGCGGTCCATTTTATGACAAGTTTTGCCTCATGGAAACATTCTGTAGCACTAAATAAACTGGCAGGTTTCTGTTACTTTTTATGTAACTAGCTGTTGCTTGTGACTTTGTCCATGTTAAATTGTAAAAATCAGCCTATGTTACTCACTGATAATGTAGCTTTTTAATGGTGAAAGATCTATTGAAATTGGCCCAGTTGTTTTGAGTTATTTCAATACAAAAATACAAATCTTTCCTCTTTATAATATTAGTATAGAAGACCTCAGTGGCATGTTAGGTGTTTTTGTTATATATTTATTGTTAATAGGGACTGTTATTAATAATCCCAATAGAATAGTTTGAAAAACCATAATCTTATTTGTACACACATTTTTGGTGGAAATGCTAAGACTAGGAGTAAATACTTATTTTTCTTGTTTCATCTTTAACTATTTTTTACTAATATTAATATTGTAGTATATTTTAAGTAATAGTAATAATTTCTAACACTTGGGCCTGGAATTAAAAAAAAATCCATTAAAGCTGTCTCAATGCTAATTGAGTAACATAAGGTATATTTATTACTAAAAATGTTTCAGTAAAATTCAGCATGGATGAAGTCACAAGCAAAAGCTAGTTAGATATCTAGTAATCTTTTTCTGGTTTTATTATAGTATTGTCATGCTAATCTATGTTTGAAATATTTCTAGGGGTAATTATCATATGAATTGCTAGTTGTATGTCAACATGGCTGATTGTATTTGTTGATATGTTTGAATTCTATATACTTACAATTCAAATAAAGGTTATATTTGTGGTTTATTGTATTGTGTATTACTTTAAATTTTTCATCTCTATGGTTGACCCAAAGAATACATTTTTAACAATCTAAAACTGAAAAAAAAAACAGGCCTAATATCTAAGAAAATATAAAGAATTTTCAATTAATATAATTTGAGTAATTATGACTTCAAGACACACATAGAGAGTTTGCAGTTCCTCTGGAATATTGTCCATTTGAATCAAAGAATATTAGGTGGTCAGATGCTCTTTGACCTGCAAAGAAAAGTTATAGTTTTCTTTTTTACATACTTATTGATGTGGTTTATCTCTTTTCATCTTTGGTTTAGAAACTAAATATTGTCAGATAAGGTATCATTTGTGCTGTCATCGCTATATTTGGATAGTTTAGTGAATGTTTTTATGTATTGACAATCCACTACACAATTCATTATGGATATGGAAATTATGTGATGACACTGGAATTATTTTCCAATTGACTAGAGTGTATTTTATGTTATTCTATGATCAGTATTTAAAAAAATCAGAAAGATTACTGATAGTTTTCATCATCACCAGCTCAGTGTATATCCCGAATGAAGGGCTCCGAACCTAAGTTATGGGTGACTAGGCCATAGTTAACCATGCTGGCCCAGTGCGGGTTGGTTGACTTCACACATGTCTTTGAATTTCTTCACCGATATGTGCAGGTTACATCACGATGTTTTCCTTCACCGTAAGAATGTCGGTAAATTATTTATATATAAATTTGAAAAACTTGACAATCGCATTGGTACATGGCATGATTCGAACCCAAGACTTGTAGATTACAAGTCAAGTGCTTAAACCACTGAGCCGCTCACGCTCTCGTCGACTGATAGTTTTGAAATAATAGAACTATGTCAATATTGAGAGCTTATTTATAACTTTGTGAACCAATCGGAGTGACAGTGCCCGCTATTGGTGGTTTCACGGCGTAACGAGCCGATTCATCCTTGCTCACCTATTGTTTTTATTTCACCGACCACATAAAAGGCGGGTGTTCTGTTACCCAACAGGTTTTCCATACAAGAACGTAAGATTACTGCTTGATAGCTCCAAAACTGGTTTGTGAGTTTACTTTTGTTTGCATTCCGATGTTACGATGCTTGTGGAGCGTCGTTTGTGCGAATATTTCGCGATTTGTTTTTTATCTATGGTAGAATTTGTGTTTGTCTATGGTTGCTAATGTGCTGTGATATGTTAAAACGCAAGGAGTCGTGGTATGTGAGCCATCGAGTTAGAGGTCATGTTGCAGATTGGAGGTCAAACAACTGCAAGCAGCATTGGAATACAGCCTGTGATTGTATGCATTTTAATTACATATAATTTGCTAGTGTTTTGGGATGTTGGAAAGTAGTGTCTTTATAAATGTACAGTCTGTAATCCTTAATTGTCTATAGTTTTTAGATTTAATTATTCTATGGTATGTTATACTATATATTATAAATACTGAAATTTAGATGGATGGATGATTATCACTTATCTTCAAAATGGATTCTTGGATCTTAATCAAAGACATATGTAGAAATAGTCTAGAAAAAAAATGGATACTTACAAAGTATTTTTTAATTTCGTACAAATAGTAACGGGTTAAAGCTAGTTGTATATTTAAAAGGTATTAATAATGAAACTCTAGGATTCAAAATTAATTTTTGAATCGTGATTCCATTCATATTAAGATTGGTGTTATTTAATAATGCGGAGAACTTTTGTGTTTATCTTCCCTGTTTACAGCCTTTCTTCTAGCCTTTTACATTGCATTTACTCTATCTTTTTGTACTCCTACTAACTTTTAAAGTTGTAACTAATATTTACAATTATAAGTGTGCTTTGCGTTTTAAAAATACTTTGTCTTATTGCAGATGGACAAGTTATAACTATTTTCTTATATGACCCCTAAGTTTAATTTGTGAAATTTGAAACATTATTAAGTTTTTGAATATGCTGTGTCAATTTTTTATAAAATATGGTTATTGTAATGATTTTGGTCTTTAAATTTTTTAAATAAATTTTAAAATCTCTCAGAGTTAATTCTATATACTTACAGTAAATAAAGTAATATGGTTTTAATTAAAGTGCTATGCATAGGTCTGTTGACAAACCAGTATAGTTTTTATAATGATCAACTTTGTGATCCTGAGCAGTGTAAAAGAATCTTGTAAATTTTTGTCTTCATGAAGTTCAAGTTATTGACCATTAAAGATGCATGTTTTTAAACTGAATTTTACATTTACAGAAGTCTCGTTGATTTTAGTTTGTTTTGAATGATATTTTCTTTACACAACTATAAAAAATCAATACTGTTACGAAGAGGAAAATTTGTATTTTTGTATGTTTTGAAATAACCCAAAAAGTACTAGGCAGATTTCAATTCTTTCACCATTTAAAACCATGTTAACAAGAGTAACAAAGACTACTTTTTTTTACATTTCACGTGGACAAAGTCGCGAGCAACAGCTAGTATAGTATATGCTAAATAGACATTATTGATGTCTCACTCAGGTCATGACTTAAATACGCGTATTAAGATTTATATGACAAACTCTGATAAAAAGGTACAGTTTCATAATTCGTATGATTACTGACGTCACATATTACGTCATTGACTGTCGTACGGAAATGCAGTAATTCAGAATCATTTGCATTGCTATCAGTATAGTTGTAGATTGTTAAAAAAATGTTATGTCAAAAAGTTGTATAACAACTGCAGTCAGATTAATGTATGGAAAAATAAACATTTCTATGATGCATTTATTAACATAGATAACTCGTTTCATTTAAAACTGGATATTCCGGGTTTTGTAGAAATAAAATATTTTAGAATGTCCTTTTAAATGAAAACGTTGATAACACTAGCATTTAAGCTAAATATGGGCTAGACAAATATTTATCTATACTTCTATACTAATATTTTAAAGGGTAAAGATTTGTATTTTTGTATGTATTTGATTCAAGTCAAAACTACTGGGCCAATTTCAAAAATTCTTTTACCCTTAGAAAGATAATATATCTGTAACATAAGCTATATTTTTTAACTTCACAAGGGCGAAGTCGTGTGCAACAGCTGCCTTGTTTATATTCGTAAGCTAAAATGCTTTTGTTAATTCACATAGTAAAGATAAAACCGTTTAGATGACTATCTTTGACAAACAGTAAAATGGCCTTTGTAGATTATTTCTTATTTCACTTGCATTCATACACTACGGAAAGAGAGGTTACAAAGGGGTAATCAGGTCGCGACACACCTCCTAGTCTTTGGTTCGACAGATACGACATATCCCGAATAAATGACAGTTTTCGCAGCAGAAAAAACGGCAAGATACTTTCATTTATGAATGGTGCGAATTTCGGATTTAACGGAAAACTTAATTTTTAAATCCAATCTTTGTCCATACTGTGACATCGAAAATATGTGTAGTAGAAATACATAATGCTACTATTATGGCACTTGTAGAGAATAGAAAATATATGATAAAATAAAATCCTGATATTGTACTACTTGTTAGTTTCATTTTTTAATTTCGCAATTCTTGGAATTTATGCCAAAACACTATTTGTCATAGCTTATAAATATTCTATCCAGATACATGAAACAAGTTATGTTTCTGCGTAAATTGTCAGTAACCAGGTCATTAATACTTAAAAACAAACAATTTGAATTATAAACAAACTATAGACAAACATTGATAAAATAAATTTTTCTGCATAATCAACTTTTTCCTCACAGTTTATGCCTGCAACTCCTATATCTAATTTTAAATTGTTAAGTAGGTGGTGCTAGCAGATTTGTTTACTAAAAACTTGTGTTGCACCATTTTTCACAAATTAGTCTTAACTTTTTATAATTCATAATGAAAGTTGTACAAATATTGATTGCTATTTTAAGCGAAAAAGTTAAATTACTAGATGTAAAATTTAGCACTTTTTTGGCATGTTCAAAATTTTTTAATAATCCATAGTGAAGTAGATTATTTTAATGTAACATGTTTTAGTGGTAAATTCATTGTAATGTAGTTATAAATAAACTATTAAAAGAAAAGTATTTAGTCAGATTTGCGATATAACAGAAAGATATTTGTGGTATCCATTGAATTTCTTAATCTTTGGACTGTATGCTTAATACCGATAATTGTCTTTTTTCAACATAATCTTTGCGCGGAAAATAAAAAATACATGAAATGCAACTCGGGACATTTACAAATCCTGTGCCTAAGCACTCCACCATCAACGAAGATATGTTTAGGGAATTTAGTATAGTGTTACAATATTGTATACGATTTCAGGCAATGGTGGGGAGACAACGTGGTGTTTTAGTCAGGTGAAGGGCACGTTGGAGGACGACGTGACCGAGGCCGACCTCATCTCCTGTGTGGAGTTCAACCACGACGGCGAGCTGCTCGCCACTGGCGACAAGGGAGGCAGAGTTGTTATATTTCAGGTAGATATCATACTGTTACACCCCTTAGTTATAACATATTCATATTCCTTATATACCACTTTCCGCTACCCTACTACCAGAATCATCACAGCACTCAAACAACCTGGACTGTTGTATAATTTAATGTTGTATTTTTTATAAAAACATCCGCTCCATAGCTCATAACAATACAAGTCTTTTTTACTAATTTGAGTAAAAAAACATATGTTTTCTTAAAAAATGCGTGTTCCCTTAATGTATCCTTTCTTTTTAGTGTTAAATTGTTAGTTGTTACTAAATATTCACCAAGTATATGTATTTCTATTCTCGGAATTCATAAATAATTCATAGCTAAGTGGTGACTTAGAGTAGTTGAATAAGTAAAGAGGATCCTTAAGTGAAGGCTTATTGTGAGAATTTAACTCTAGTTAAGGAATATTTAAAGTAAGCAAGTTTTGAGTGCATCAGTAATCTAAGTGACGGGAAATGTGGAATAATTGCCCAATAACCACTTAAATGAGTGGGGCTTTTAGTGATTTTCAAACATATGATTCCAGAGAGACCCAGCGTCAAAGCAATGTGTACCGAAGAAAGGAGAATACAATGTTTACTCAACGTTCCAATCACACGAGCCGGAGTTCGACTACCTCAAGTCATTGGAGATAGAGGAAAAAATCAACAAGATACGGTGGCTCAAGCGGAAGAATCAAGCACACTTTCTGCTCTCCACCAATGACAAGACGATCAAGCTATGGAAGGTATGCACCAGATGTTATTTCAGCTATCTTCCAATAAAAGCTCCAATATGAACAGTAACTATTTTGGAAATAATCTGGAACAAATGTGGCTTTGTGGACAGTCGATAAAAAAATTTAATTGACTTGTCGTATAATTATGTTTATAAATCAATACATTATACAAACAATACTGTAATATTGCAGGTTTCGGAGCGCGACAAGCGCGTGACAGGGTACAACACGCGCGAGGAGGGCGGGCGGCTGCGGCACCCCTCGCGCGTCACGCAGCTCAGGGTGCCCACAGTGCGGCCTGCGGAACTCATGGTCGAAGCATCGCCCAGGTATACTTCTAATTTAGTCGATACATCTAGGCTAGATCTAGGGGGGCTAGAGAATTTAGTTGTATTCTCATGAATTATTGTTGTTTTTTAATTAACAGAACAATTATAAATTTCAGTCTAAAATAATGTATAGTATAGGGCAGGTGTGACGAACATTTTTCAAAGTGCCATTTTTTAAAAGAAATGTTTTGACTGCGTTTTCAAGTCAATTCAATGCTGCATCTACTTCATAATTATTACGTGGTGTTTTTATAATCCTGACGAGCCCAATATATTATGTTGTGTGCTAATCATGGCACGCGAGGCAATAGTGCGCCACAACTGGCATATGGTATACATGTTATATTTGTTAAGGCTGTTTTTATTGGATATTTTGTTAGGGTATTTCAGTTACAGACGAGATATTTAAAATTAAAATATTAGGAAATACTTGTATATTTCTTTCAGACGTATCTTCGCGAACGCGCACACATATCACATCAATTCGATATCGTTGAACTCTGATCAGGAGACGTATCTGTCTGCGGACGATCTGCGTATCAACTTGTGGCACCTCGAGATCACCGACCAGAGCTTTAATATCGTCGACATTAAGCCCGCTAACATGGAGGAACTCACTGAGGTAATACACAATATATATACACCAGTGGCTATGCCCCCATAACCGACCCTCTCATACTTGGCATGACAATTGTATATTTGTATAATGACACTTGTATAATTGTATAATGACACTTGTATATTTGTACGACACTTGTATAATTACTGTATTTTGTATTAGTAAATGTAATTTTGCATTTTCTGCCTGCTAATCGATGTTACGACTTGTAATGTTACATGTTACACGTTGAGCATGCAGTCAGTAGCTTGTAACGGATCGTTGTACGAGTAATATACTAATGTTTTAATGTTCGCTTCGTAACATATCCACTTCGTAACATCTTCGAGTAAAGATCTAGACAAAAGATTTTCGTCACCTAACAAGTTGTGTCACAAAATACTTTTATTATGCAAACGTCGGAAAGTTTTAAAAATCTTTACTTGTACGAACTGTCGTACATTTTGATCTTGTTATATAAAATAAATGTGTTGTTATCAGGTTATAACCGCGGCGGAGTTCCACCCGACTGAATGCAATCTCTTTGTATATTCTAGTAGTAAGGGTAAGTTAATGATTGGATTTTAACTCAATAGTGGTAGAGCTCGCTTTAACATGTTCTCCACAATACTACGACCACACAGACAGGCGTGAAGTGGAAGTAATTCCGCAAACAGTCTGATAATTGCGTGCTAGAGGCGTGTTCTTGTTCCTTTTTATTAAAAGGTGGTAAGGAAAAGTGGATTTGACGTTTCCGAAATCTGGATTTTTTTTGATATTACAAACAGACACTCCAATTCTATTATATGTATAGACTAGCTTTTGCTCGCGACTCCGTCCGCGTGGAATTAAAAAAAAAACAGAAGTAAGTAGCCTATGTGTTCTTCCAGACTATCATCTACATTTTTGCCTAATTTCATCGAGATCCGTTCAACAGTTTAGGCTACAAACTCTAATAAAGAAGTGTGTGTTTTCGCTTTATTATTGTACAGTTGTAATTGTACTGCAAGTGATATTGAACCTTACGTGTACGTGTGTAGGTACAATAAGGCTATGCGACATGCGCGCGGCGGCGCTGTGCGACCGCCACGCGAAGCTGTTCGAGGAGCCGGAGGACCCGCACGCGCGCTCCTTCTTCTCCGAGATCATCTCCTCCATCAGCGACGTCAAGCTCAGCAACTCGGGCAGGTATGTCACCTAACACTGCACTCAGACACCTTAAATTACTACTAAGTGACACGTAAGGGGACATTTACGTTAAGGCACTGTTTATGTAATTTTTTTTGTGGTTTTTCAACCATATTGTCATTTAAGATTCATAAAGAAAATAATTCCAATACTTTATAATCTTTTTTTTCAATTTTATAAAGAGCAATGTTATAGTTAATGAAAACAAAAAAAAACACTTACGAATATGTATTGCTCTTCACAAATGGGGAAAGGATTTGGCTTCTGCAGTACAGGGAAACCTAGTGCAGGAGCCAAGGCTCTCGTAAAATAAATATTTTCAAAAGTAAAATAATAAAGGATTCATTTATTTATTTATTTATTTATTGTTGTTTCAGATATATGATGTCTAGGGATTATTTAGGTTTAAAAGTATGGGATCTTAGAATGGAAACAAAACCTGTAGAAACATATCCAGTAAGTAAAATATTATCTTCTCATGTTATCTTGATAATTTAACGTAAAACATATTAAATTCTGCCTTTTTTCTTACATATCTATAGTCGCGGAACACATTTTACCATCGTTTTTATTTGATTATGTTATTGCCACTGCAACCGGGCGAACCGAACCTTTCAAAGATATATACTATACTTTATATGTACTATACTATACTTTTGTTATCGTAATATATATAATAATTGTGTTTAGGTACACGAGTATTTGCGGTCGAAGTTATGTTCGCTGTACGAGAACGACTGTATATTCGACAAGTTCGAGTGCTGCTGGAGCGGCGATGACCAACGCCTGATGACGGGCTCCTACAATGGATTCTTTAGGTATTCCACATATTTAATTACCTCAGAATCATGTTACTTTTATACGAGCCGAACAAACGCTAATAACCCACATGAAGTCGTGCCATTTGTCAAATTATCAATAACAAATGTCAAAATGATATGACATGATAAAACTTGACAATCTTGCTTCCTTGATGTTGGCAGCAACTTATGGTCTCTTTCCCACATTAGGGTTTTTATCCAAAATATTTACCTCCTAAATTTAATGGCGTGAAAATATTTAGCCTAAAGCGTGACGCAAGTGTAGGGCTTTTTATTGAATATAATTATTCAGAAATATGCTGTGATTGCTGACATCTTAGGCATCAAAGAAATGTGTGTTTACGCTTTATTATAATAGTATAGATGTATGTGATATATGTGTGTTGTGTGTAGGATATTCGAGCGAGGCGGTGCGGGCGGCGCGGGCGCGGGTGCGGGTGCGGGGGGCGCGGCGCGGCGCGGCGAGCTGACGCTGGAGGCGTCACGTGACGCGGCCGCGCGCCCCCGCCAACCGCTGCGGGCGCGCCGCGTCGCCGCCACAGCTAAGAGGAAGAAGGTAAACTAGTCATTGAATATGCCAGTAAATCTATACTATACCAGGAGTTCCCAAACTATTTGTAATCTAGAACAAATTTTAAAATATCGGTCAAGTGGCGGCCATCACCTATTGTTAATCGACCAACCTACATAACTCCTCATTTTTTATTATTTTTTTTGTGTTTATAATTTGAAACAACCGAGCCGTACCGTCCCGAAGCAATTGGAAAAGTGGAAAGAAACACCTCTTTCACAACTAGGTAATAGCGAAAAAAAATCGTTTTACCTAAATGGTGAGGTAAATTTGGTTAGGGAGGGATACAGGCCGGTTTCTCACACGGAATCTACGCCAAAAGACAATTAATGTTTCTGTGTATTTGCATTTAGGGCCTGTCCCACCACTGGCTGATAGAGGCTCAGATAGTTTTAAAAATGACGTCACTGTTAGATATGGTAACAAAATCCGATATTTCCGTCATACATTTTACACGTTGGATTGTTATCAGACATTTTACAATTTGGTGGGCCAAGCACTAAATCTTGTAAACATAGAGAACAGCCTATGAGGCAAGGATATTTATTGTTATATATTGTATTGAAAATTGATAAGTATAAATTATTATTTCAGGACGAGATAAGCGTGGACTGCCTGGACTTCAACAAGAAGATCCTGCACACGGCGTGGCATCCGCACGAGAGTGTCATCGCCGTGGCTGCCACCAACAACCTCTTTATATTCCAGGACAAGTTCTAGCGCACCGCCCACGCTTATAGGTACGCTCCTTACACAACTGACACAACTGACACAACTGACACTCACTGACACAACTGACACTTATTGACATAATAAATGACGCATGACACAAACGAAATACCTCGAAATAGACCAGGCATTTAAATATATAGACTAGACATGTGAATTTTTTTTCACCGCTAACTTCTTTAGAAGGTACCATAGTACCTACTACATATTGTTGAGGTTAATACCACCTCATGTCCTGTATTGGGATGTTATAACACATTTTACAATATATATAAGATCCATTTTTCCCCTTTTCTTCCTGTTTATTTCATCTTTTCACATAATCACTAGCGCTACCTAGTGTCTGATAGTCAAAAACAAACAAATAATTCAAACACAGAAGCGTTTCTTTACATTGAGATATTACCGTACAAAGATGTTACCAGTAAAAAAAAAACCCTGTGTCTAGTAAACATGTGTATTAAATTTAATTGCTCATATAACGTGCGACTGAAACGCGACCGGTGTTGGCTTGAGACACGTGACGTCAATAGTCACAATTCATTCATTTGATAAAACATTCGCTCAGATATTACTTCGATGTATAAATAAAATATTATTTTTATAGTCATTATGAATACATAGAAAAAGTTTGGTCTAATTAGGCGTCGTATGCGTTTACGCATGAAGTTTTACCGTGGTTTTAATTTATTTTTCAGGTAACATTAGTGAAGAATCATGGATATAACGTGGCTGTGCGCGAGCCGAGGTTGTATACGTAAGGGGGGGGAGGGGGGCCTTACACTGTATGTAGTGTTTGTGTTACTACTATTTATTATGTGTACCTTTTTGTGCTCGCGAACCTTTTTGTGGTTCGCGAG